CAGAATCAAATTTTTAGCAGTGGTTAGATCACTGAAGGCATCCTTCAGTTTTTTACTAGTAGGGCATGGTGTACAATATCCTCAATATTTTGAAGAATCTGCATTTCAGTGGGTTCTGTTGGGAAAAATTAACCCCCTTTATTATGCGGCTCTGTCTAGTACCAGATTACCAAGATTATTAGGAAAAATACTTATTAATCAATACGGTAAACTTTAAGCTCCCCTGGTTTCTGTAGTAACTTGAAAAATGGTTACCATAGTACTTGCTCCTTGATCCTGCACATATATGTAGGCTATTAACTTTGACTGAGACATCTATTTATCAATACCTTTTAATAATTGACTAAAATGATCTTGCCTGACATTGAACTGACATGTAAGTTGTGCTTAGACACAGCTGACTCCTGACCAGCTTTTTTTTTTTTTTTTTCTTTTTTCTTTCAAGATGATCCGGTGCCCATGGACCAATTCAGGCCCGTAACCCTTGAGGGCGTCATTTGCCTCTCAAAGAGAGTCCGCCTTATAGGCCATGAGACCTATCGATGCAAGCAATTGCTCTGTGTTTCTCATCTCCAAGTGAAGAGCACAGAGCTGAATACTGCTCAGGTCTTCATCAAGCAGACACAACAAGTCATCCAAATCCCACTTGACCTTTACAAACACATGGTTTAATATCAGTTGCCTACCCTACGAAATAACTATATGCTCGTATTGAAAACTGTGTTTTGGCATCGGCTATGAAGATAAGGCTAAAACCGAGGAAGGTGTCTTAAATGTTAACACACTGATGTTCCTTCCAACATATTCAAATAAGACCATGAAGTGCATATTTTGGAGTAACGGATTACAAATATAGGTGCAATTGACCCCAGAACTAATTGCTTAAAAAATGTACATGCACTGGCTAGACTGGCTCATCAAGTATATTACACCTCTTGTAATACATGGACAAGTACCTTCCAATGTTTGCCTTGCTTTGTAAACAGTCGAAGCAACTTTCCTCTGGTTCTACATTGTGGCAATTACAGCCCTAATGAGAAGTATCTCTAGCTTAAACTGAGTAACTAACATTCAGTGTCCTGCAAAATTACATGATAAGATTTACAGGAAAATAGAAGGGTTTGAGTAAAAACAAAAGGGAAGTCTCCTCTGCTAATAGGACCTTCTTCCTTACAGTTAATGGTTCAATCTACAGTCTAGCAACAATAAAATAAATGTGGACATCTTCAAATCTTTCCATAAATGATTTGCAACAAAATATTTGCATCTGAGGAATATTGACTGATACATGTGCAACATGTATATTACTAATAGCAAACATTTAATTGCTAGAACTGCATTGCTAACATACATACCCTGACTGCATTGCAAGTAAAACAAAATTCCACAGAGACTCCCCTGCCACCAAGAAGAAAGTCTTCCTCATCCTTCTTTACCAAGAAAAAAGTCAATGTCTTGTAGTCTACAATAACTTTTGGAGAGAAACTGAACTGATATCCTTGATCTGTTTTGACATTTTTCGATCAAAGTGATATCAGAATGCTTTAATTGGTGTGCCGGACGATAAGAGTAAGCTCATAGAAGACTGTTTATATTTATTATTTTAAAGAGGTGTACATTTTATTGCTTTGTTTATTAATTTTTTTCCTGGGTGCAGTGATAGTAAAAGTAAGTTCCATTTTTATTTTGTCGATCAAACGTAGATTACATGTCTGGACCGGAAACAGTTAAAGGGTTTTTTTCGCGTTCCAAAAATAGTGTTTGTCAGGGTAATATTTTTTCTGAGTTGGTTTTGCACGCATACATACTTATCTTCCCTGTGCTCTTTCCCATTCCGTAGTCATCACGTATTAAGGAAGGCTAGTGCGGACATCGTAATGCACGTTGTTGTACGTAATTGTACAACTCTAGGTCGAGTTTTACCGTTCGATCTGTTACAGTCGCAACTTGCTGAATAATGTCGCCCAAAGTTATATCTACTTGTATGGGCCGAATATAAACTCGGCCTATGCCCAAACACCTAAGTTCGTCGGTATTGCACGACCCATACTTTACAACTTGTAACCTAGTGCGCGAGTTGTCTGCGTGCAACAGCATTTCGAATCCGCCACAACTTTGTAATGGACGGAAGGCCCTGGAAATATAAACAAAAGAAATCAGTTTACAAACGGCTGGAGCTAAAAGACTAGGAGATCTTAAGCAAGCCAGTGGATTGAGAATTATGTAACTCACTTGTACAAAACCTCCTTGACCTGCTCCTTCGATGCATTCGTAGGGATCTGCAACTTTTTCTCTCCAAGGCCATTTTCTTCTAATAAAAGCTTCTCGCGGTTGGTTGGAACGGTGAGATGGTCACGCCCAGCGAGACAAACAAAATTTCTGGTAATGGTTTTTTCTGTTGAAATTACATCTTCTGTCGCCAATTTCTATTCCGATGGCAAGTGCTTTCTCGTGATATTCTTTAGCCTTCTGATATTTACTGAGTTTAGCACAGACATTTCCAAGTCTCCCATGAACCAGTGCTTCTTCTCTTTTTTGACCAATTGTTTTCACGATGGTGAGTGCGCATTTAAAGAGTTGCTTGGCCTCCACAAACCGGCTTTGTGCTTTATATTTGTCTCCCAGTTTTATGTTTAGTCTCTAAGCATGGTGAAATCTGTCAAGAAGTTTGGTGGCATGTCTTTCTGCATCTGCGTAACCGGAGATGGCGTAATACGCGTTAAATAGTACATCGGAGATATCAAGGTGACTACCAGAGTCAAGGTTTTGAAGTAGAATTACACATTCATTACATAACTCAGTCGGTTGTTGGCCTCGATCAGTGTTCAGAAGAAATATGACGACATTTATTCCCATCTTGATTGATTTTAGGATTTCTGCAGCGTCACTCATTACGGCTCTCTCCTGTTTATTGTCGTAGGAAAGAATCAACAAGAAAGGGAAGCTTAAAAAAAGAAACACTGATAAATTTTGTAGTTTATAAAGTGTTTTAGGAAATTTGTGGTTGTCTTCCTTCTTCCCTTTTTACAGATATCTGAGCGCAACATTCCTTTTTCACTTTTTTTTCAGACCAGTCACAAGTGTATCATCTGGGTTCAAATTACAACAATCGTAGAGGGGATTTGGATACAGCTATCAAAAAAGTTTCACCAGAAGACCAGCGGTTAATTAACCAATCGTGATATGTTTAGATTCACTCGTGACGAGTAAATGTGAAGCGTAACTTTTGCAGAAAGGCGAGCGTGATTACTGAATCTATGAACACATGAGGGGCGTAATTTGC